TCATACACATAATGAAATTTTTTTCTCTCTCTAAAATCTCATCTTCTCATTCCCCACCCTTCTTCTTTTTCCCTAATTTTCACAAAATCACACACTAAAATCGTTCATATCATTCCAAGTTCGAAATTGAGAAAAATCTTCATGTGTTCAAACTAAAATAAAGTTGGAATTTGAGAAAAAAATTCGAATTGATATGAATTTAAATAATTAAAAAGACATAATGAAATTGAAAAATATTAAATAAACCTAAACTCACTTTTTATGATTAATCACGTGAAAGATTAAAGAATTTTGATTGACTTGGAAAAAATCATCATAGAAAAAAGTTAGTAGAAAATATAAGTAGAGAGGGATTTCTTTTTTAATTTATGTGTGGGATTTAGTAAATTTTAGTGTGGGATTTAGCATGCCCCATTTTTTTATTCGAGTAATTAATTAATAATTATTTACAAATTTCTTTAAGATGCCTGGAAAAAAAAAATGGTTGGTGGGCCCAGTAATATGTTAGAATCTTTCAGCAAATCTAACCGTTGCCATTTCATTGACAAGTAGGCCCAAACCGATCATGGCCCAATATTTACTGTTAATAGCCCACCTAACTTTCTCATTTCACTAAAATTTTTATGGTAAATTACGGCCCACCCCAGAGGTAAGGTCAAATTATGAAAAAATCCTTTATTTTTTGGGTAATTACAAACACCCGTCAACTATGATTTTTCTTACTTTCACCCGATGTATCAGTAGAATCTTCTAAATTTCTTGGAGTGCTCTATAGTTTGTACTCGTTTTACTACATTTGAAATCCACATTTTGAAACAAAATGATGTTAAGATGTGTCTTCTGGTTTATAATTATCAAATTGCAACTCGGCAACAACGTCAACGGCAGCCGAGCGGACAGGAAGCGAGAGAGGGTGGATTGCCATGGAATCGACGTTTTGAGAGAGAAGAAGTAAACTGACGTCGTTTTGTTCTTTAATAGATTAAGGATATATAGATCTTTTCAAGCAAAAACAGATGGCCAGTCGCACAAAATACGAGTATATCGTAAGTTGATGTAGCATGGTCTTTTTTAGCTTTGACTAATTTTCGCAGGGGCTTATGTGCAAATTTCTTTAATATGAGGGTTTTTTCGGGCATTCGATATTACACAGGGTTAATTTTGCAAAAAGTCCTAATTCCTACTCACACTCGTCTCCTCCTCCTCCTGCTCCACCGCCGACGGATTCCCCCACCTACTTCCGCTCAATAGCCGGTGAGTTTTCGTGATATTGCTAATTTTTTTATTTATTTTTCCTTATGAATTGAATAATCAATGACGCCCTGTTGAATTGCTGTATCAGTCCGTACATTGATTCATTTCATAAATTTAACCTGATTCCTGATGTTTATCTGATTGATGCGCTGAGAAGAATGCCGTCGTCTTCTCACATTTTGTAGTTATTCTGCGCCATTTCTTTGCTTTTGTCGTAGGTATCTCAATTTAGGGATTTGAATCCCTCTTTAAGTTCATCCTCGTTAGAAATTCATGGGCTTTCTACAGTGGAAACCCTCGTATGCTTTAGTGAATGCGGGGTAAAAATGTAATTTGTATCTGAGTTTTATTTAGTATGTAATGAATGTATTTGATCAGCTTTGAGATTGCTCAACCTAAGACTTTGTTTGCTGATGTTGTTGATTCTAAAGTATAATCGAAAGAGTCGAACCTTCACGATTTCGGGTGTTATAAACACGAAAAATACTAATTCCACTATTTAGATCGATTATCTTCTGTTCGTATCGGTATCGATTTTTTATCCGGTCTTTCGTTTGAAGTATAATGTTGTAGCCTTTTGTTTTTCCGGTTGTCGAATTCAGTTTAAAGAGTTGGATTTGATCAGTCGAAAGGCAAAAGTATGAACCAAATCGGAGATGGTGGAGAGCCACCATCATCGTCAAAGACGGAGATTTTGGATAGTCCGCTCCACATGTTTGGTTTCGAAATCGACGAACTTTCACCTCACAGAGTTTCAGGCCACCTTTTGGTTACACCAAAGTGCTGTCAGGTATCACCACTCCTCGTTCGATTAGCCTCGATTTATTACTAACCAAGCAATTATTGTCTGGCAACATACTCGAGCAATTAGTTTCATAATGGAATATCGAATAATTACGACTTCTGATATATGCCACTAAACATAAATATAGATATCGTATTTGTAATATGTGGCTCGTATTCAGTGCAACCATATCCTATGTAAGCGCATGATTTCTATCGAACGAGCCCATATGATATTGTATTTGACTGCTGCAATTTTTTCGGGAATTTAAATGAGCAGCCATTCAAGATGTTGCACGGAGGGGTGTCGGCGTTGATAGCCGAGGCTTTGGCGAGTATGGGAGCTCATATTGCGTCGGGTTTTCACAGGATAGCTGGTATACACCTCAGCATCAGTCATTTAAAAAGCGCACAGGCTGGCGACTTTGTAGTTGCTGTGGCTACACCTGTCAATCTTGGCAAATCCATTCAGGTAAACTTTTTAGCTATATATTATTTTATACATCTAATTCCGAATATTCGATAACTGCCCATCGTAGATGAAATCGATCTTTAATTTACATTGTATTACAATTAGTGCACTATTTGAGCAGGTTTGGGAGGTGAGCTTATCGAAATGCGATCCGTCGAATTCGGAGATTAAAACGCTGATTGCGTCTTCGAGAGTTACTATACTTTGCAACTTGCCGGTGCCGGAATCTGCAAGAGATGCTGCTCAAAATCTCAAAAAATACGCCAAGTTATAATACGAACGAACGCTGTTTAATAACGAACCCTGTGGTATATTGAAGCAGAGTATATAGCTTTATGTGTTCAGGAACTTATGTTGCATCAAAATAAAAACATTTGCTGACGTAGTAAATTAAAATAATATTATTCATTTTTTTATTTCTTACAAATAATTTTCAACTTAAAGAATAAAAAAATGATTCGATTTATTACAATGTTATCCTATGTACATCAATAAATGCTAAGCCCTGAAAAGAATCCATGAAAACCAATTGAGTCCTCTGTGTTTTCCTAACTTCCCATAAACCTGAATCAAAGAAATTAAATTAATTAATTAATTAATGCTTATATCAAAATTAAGGTAAAAAAAAAGGTCAGAAAATTACCTTATGTAACTATTGTCTGCTGCAAGAAACCCTTTTGTTCTTCATGAGAAATCTTCGCCGAGGATTTCGGCATTTAAATCTTTATTGAAATTTATGTCTAAATATATATAAAAACCCTAAATTCACCCTATGCAAACTTGTATGTATAAATAATAAATATATATTCAAATGGCCCTATATAGATATATTTTAAGGGCATTGAGGTATGACTGTTCCTGAATTCTGTAGATTAACGTTGTTGCAAACAGCTTTAGATTTTGCACCATCTGCCCCTACAAAGTTCACATTTTGTAGAACAATCCCCTGACAAGGATGGCTCTTACTGCAGTCGAAATCGATAGCTACTTTGGAAGCGCTCGTTCCCTTTATGTTTTGGTACACGACATTTTTCACTTGCACAGCTGAGGCCTGAAATTATATGATCAACAAGAAAAAAGAAAATCTTTCAGACAAGATATTGAGATATATATTCCGATTTTTCGGTCAAAGGGCGTTCTTGATATTAATTTTCACCTGTTGTTTGCATGGTCCGTCTTGGTCGCAGTAGTTTTGGTCAACGATTATCGGGTTTTTCACGTTTTTCATCTCTATGTTTTGGAATTTGATGTTGCTTGCACTTCCAGATCCTCCCTGTGTATATTTCAAGTGAAACTAATGTTACTTGAGAGAGAGAGAGAGAGAGAGAGAGAGAGAGAGAGAGAGAGAGAGAGAGAGAGAGAGAGAGAGAGAGAGAGAGAGAGAGAGAGAGAGAGAGAGAGAGAGAGAGAGAGAGAGAGAGAGAGAGAGAGAGAGAGAGAGAGAGAGAGAGAGAGAGAGAGAGAGAGAGTTTTACCTGCCAAGTCTTGATTCTGACTCCATTGGTGGTACCGGAAAGCTTTGCTCGATTAACGACAACATCTGAGACATATTCTTCGGAATTTCCAGAACCCAAGCTTCCAATACTGAGTTCATTAAGAAACAAAAAAAATTGTGTACCAATGTAAGAGCAACATTTATAAATATTGACAGATATTTTTTTGAATTGGATCAATAATATCAAACCTGATGCCATGACCAGGTCCACATGTAATGTCCGTCGCTTGAACTTTCTTCGATCCACTCACAATCGAAATACAGTCGTCGCCTATATACCCGATTCAATCACAATTTTGTTAATTAAAAGTTGACAATAAAATTGATTTTTTTTTCAAAGAAAATTAATTACTATAGTCCATATGTATATATACCGGTGCCTATAATGCAGCTAGATATTTGGATATTTTGAGTGCCGGTGACGTGGATTCCGTCGGTATTAGGGCTCTTTTCGGGAGCATTCACCACAAGATTCGAGGCTTGCACGTTTGTGCACTTTTCGAAAGACAGATGAATTTGCTGTGCATTTTGGATCTTCAGATTCTTTACTACCAAGCTTGTGCACTTGTAGAAGGTCAAAGCCTGCACCAAATTATATATATAATTATTATATATTTATATATCTATTAATTATATAATTAATTAAGAGCCAAGATTAAGTTGTAACTCTATAGAAATAAGTGTTCATACCGTTGGAGCACTTTTGCATGGCTGCAAAATAAAGAAGAAAAATATTAGTATATTATATATGTAAATATTTCAATAAATGATGGAAGAGAGAATTAATTCATAAAAAAAATATTAATTTATTTTATTTTTCACCTTCGATTTATTAATTTTGCAAGAATTTTGCCACCAGATATTCCCATTGCCGTTAATAGTGCCACCACCTTCAACAACTAGGTTATCGACTCTGTCGAAAATAAGCCAGTGTCGATTGTCTTTACTGTAGTCGGCACGATTATCAGATGCTAGGATGGCTCCATTAATCTGCATATATATGTAAATTCAGATTTTAAAATAAATAAATAAATGATCAATAATTCTTATATTTCATTAAATTATTAATTAATTACCTCCATTGTTATGTGGGATTTGCAAGGGCCTGTAAATCTAAGTGGTTTGAGAAGATAAGTTTTGCTCTTTGGTACCACAAAATTTACATCTTGTGAAGATGAACATGCTTCTTTCCATGCATTCCCAAATGCCTGAAACAAACATATATAATTAATTAATTATATATCTGATTTTTAAGATAAAATCTTAAATTAATTAATTAAGGTAATTTCCACTTAATTACTATGATTTTTTTTTTAAATTATTTGAGAAGTAATTCCTATTTCCATGTTACATAAAAAATATTTTTCCCCAAAATTATTTATATGAATTAAAGTACTAATCAATCATCATGAGTCATATTACATGCATATATATATATATATATATATATATATATATATATATATATATATATATATATATAAATTAAAGTCTCCATCACTAAATTAATATAAGAAACATGAAATTTTATCTAACTTTTTGATGATGAATATTGGACTTTCTGTTACAAAAAATATCATTAACAATTAAAGATGAACTGATCAGATATATATTATATGATTGGCTTTATTTTAAAACTGAAACCTGCATGCATATATATTATATATATTTATATATAAAACAATTGATATCTTAATAATTATAATCCAAGTAATTAATTAAATAATTACCTTAGAATCATCAGTACTTCCATCACCTTTAGCTCCAAAGCTAAGTACATCAACTGTCTTAACAGAAGCCGCAAGCGATCTTCTCGAGAAGTTGTTGAAGTCGGAAAACCGGGCTTCAATAATCTTGGCTGCCACCGCCGAAGAATTATCAAAGTACTTGTTAACCCTAGCTTGTTCAACGGGGCTAATTAAATACGAAGGGTAGCTGCGAAAATCGTAGCCGTACTCTTCTTGAAACTCATCATGGATAAGGCCATTGATGCACGAAGAACTCAAAGAAAGTAAAACAACGATCAAGAACGTCGAAAGCTGCTTTTCGAAATGCCCATAACTTTAATACTTATTTTTTTTAATGATTTTCTTTTTTTTGAAAGGATTGTTTTGTATGTGTGATAAATTAAACAAGTATGGATGTGATAACAATGTCATGCCAAACCATGCATATT